CTCGAGCACCGGTACCACCCCCAGGCCCGCCGGGACAAGCCACGACAGGAGTCACAGGACTAGTACCCACCCGAACTCCAGCACCCCTAGAGGCAACCAACTGCTGCGGCGACGGCTGCGGCGGCGGCGGTCGCAACGACGGCTGCGGCGACGGCGGCGGCGTGGACGACGGCTGCGACAGCGGTGGCGACTACGACTGCGGAGGCGGCGGAGGAGGGGACACCTGAGAAGGGGCAGGTGGCGAGGACTGCACTGCAGGACTACCAGAGTCAGTAGACTCCTCAACTGGTACAACCGACGTTTGCAGTCCTGAAGTGTGCAATCCAGAGTTGCCGAGTTGAGTGTCTTGGGCGCTGGGTGAGCCCGTAGAGGTTTTCTTGCCCTTGCTGTCCATGACTTGTAATCAATGAATTCGTTGGTGTGCAGATTGTAGATAGAGCGTAGTTGCTGGGAGTTTGGTCTCTGACCAGCTCTCATACCATGTTGGGCTGAGAAATGCCCTTAGGATCTTTCCAAAGACTAACTCCCCGTTGTAAAAGGAGAATTGAGTAGTGCAGCGGAAGTTGAGTAGTTGAACCCTTGTACTAGTATGTGAGAACAAGTGATTCATTAAAAGAACAAGCATACAGCAATATATAGAAAGTAGGAAAGTAAAGCAGTTGTAGAATACAGTTGAAGAGCGGTTATCGAGTCGCACAGCGACTCGATTGTCGCTTCGGTTGCCATCCTTGCAGTTGTAACGGTCAGTCGCAACCTCCGGTTGCGACCCTTCGAGTCCTTTCGTGTTCTTTGTCCATCCCCTCGTGTAACCTCCGTTGACTCGCGTACCCGTTACGATCTTTTTCGAGTGTGGTGTTACACTTCAGAAACGCTTTAGTCCTTGAGGTATTTCCAACACTTTTAATCAATCACTTGCTCTCACATACTAGTGCAAGGGTTCAACTACTCAACTTCCGCTGCACCACTCAAGTATCTCGTACAATTGGGACTTAGTCTCTGAAAAGATCCTAAGGGCTTTTCTCAGCCCAACACACTTCAACATTACGTTGTGTAATAGACACGGTTACGACATTTGGTGGTGTTTTTGCATTGTAATGAACTTTCAACCCCTTCTAAAAAAACATAAAAATATATAGTTGGAAGAGTATGAGAAGTATTAACCGAGTGGATAGAGCATTGATGATTTTGGCTTCACAATACATAAATGTGTTGGTCCTGAAAATGTGGTATGCCTTTGGTAAGGCAGCATAAGTCCGGTTAAAGTGTATGTGTGCTAAAAGGGGATAATTGTAATCACTATCTGGATAACTGAGGGATAGTTCTGCAGCATCAATACTTCTACACACTGCCACCCAACATCACCATGCTCGCCTGACCCGCTGCGATGCCATGCGACACCACGAGCGATACGTTCGATCGCAGTCCCCCGCAACGTGCCCCTCCGCCTTCCACCCCGCCCTTCCGCCCGCCGCGCTGCTTCTCGTCCTCGCGGTCGCCATCGCCGTCGCGCTCGCTTTTGCGCCATGGCGCGCGCAGCCCGCACCACCGCTGATGTTGGGGGAACCCGCACCAGGCGGGCTGGGCGGAGAGCGCGCAGTTGCGCGAGGTAGGGGGAGTGGCAGCGGTGCGAGCGGGCCGTTGCTGGACATGGCGGAGGGGCAGGAGGTGCGGGGGAGGGGGAGTGAGGGGGACGGGGACGAGAAGGGAGGAGACGAAAGCAGGAGCGAGAGAGGTGGGGTCGAGGAGACAGCGGAAGGGGGGAACGGTTGGGGTGAGAATGGGGGTGGCGGGGATGGCGCGAGTGGGAGTGGCGCGAGTAAGGCAGGGCCAGCAGGTGAGGCGAATGCAGCAGAGGGCGAGGCGGGTGAGAGGCGCGGAGGGGAGATAGCAGCGGCAGCAGCGGCGGCAGCAGCAGCAGTGCATGGAGGGGTGGCGAGGCCGCTGAGGCTGGTGGTGGTGCACGAGGCAGCAGCAGCGGGGGCTGGTGAGAGGCAGGGGTGGGGTGTCTAACGACTCGTGCTGCACTGTGGTGGTGTGTCTGCAGTTGCGTCTTTGCCATGCTGTGGTGCATGCACATGCCATTCCGTGCCACCATCTCCTCCTATGTGCACCCCCCTGCCTGTGAGCGTGGCATGCAGTGTGTCTGGACGGGTCACCGCCGGCCTACTACTACCGCAGGGGGCATGGAGGCGGCAGCAACAAGTGGTTCTTCCACTTCCAGGTGCCCCTCTCGCTTCCACTCTTCCCTCCTCCCACCCCCCCCTCCCCTCCCCCCCCCCACCTTTCCACTTTCCCCCCACCCTTCTGCGTTGTGAGCCGCTGCTGTGCAAGCCTTGCTGGCATGCACGCTTCTGTCTCGCTTGCATTCATGCGTGCACTAACTTGCATTCATGCGTGCACTCACTTGCATTCATGCGTGCACTCACTTGCATTCATGCGTGCACTCACTTGCATTCATGCGTGCACTCACTTGCATTCATGCGTGCACTCACGTAGTGTGGCATGGGCTGGGTGGCATTGCATGGGCATGGGCATGGGCGTGGGCATGGGCATGGGCATGGGCATGGGCATGGGCATGGGCATGGGCATGGGCATGGGATTGGCCGTGCGTGGCAGGGCGGCGCATGGTGCAGCAGCGAGGAGGAGTGTCGACAGCGCAGCCTCACTCCCCTGGGGTCGTCGCGCCTGCTGCCCGCCACCGCTGACGCCCCTGGCGTGTTCAGCGACGACCCGTCCGTCAACCCAGGTGCGGACTCAAGCTCAGCTTCGCCACTCCCTCCTTGCTGCTCTCGTTGTTGCCCTCGTTGCTGCCCTCGTTGCTGCCACACCATGCATGCTCGTGCACCCATCAAATACACCCAGTGTTGGAGATAGGCTGCAATTCGGTTAACACAACTTTGTGTGTTGGCACTTTGTTGGTTTTAGGGATACACAAATTTGTTAGGTTGGGTGTAGCTATGTTGTCATCCCCAACCTATCCCAACCCAATCCATCCCAAATCCCCACGATTTGGGAGGATTCCCTTGGGATTCCCTTCGATTCTCCCTTATCCCTTGCCATCCTCTCCGATGCTCGGTACTTAAGGATGTATGCTCTTGCTCATTTCAAATCAATCAAGTTCTCAGTTTCTGATATGGTGTCAGAGCCCGTTTCCGCCTAAGCGGCTCTTGATCCTCTCGCTCCGTTGGAGCTTAGCATTTGCGTCTTACGACGCAAAGCATTTCTACTCGCCTCAACTCAGCGCGGCGCTTCTCTTCGGGCTGACGCCCGTCGCCACGCATCTGCTCGTCGCACCTGATCGGGCTGAGCCCGTCGCCCCGCATCTGCTCGTCGCACCTGATCGGGCTGAGCCCGTCGCCCCGCATCTGCTCGTCGCACCTGATCGGGCTGAGCTCGTCGCCCCGCATCTGCTCGTCGCACCTGATCGGGCTGAGCCCGTCGCCCCGCATCTGCTCGTCGAAGCTGAACGGGCTGTCGCCCGTCGCCCTTGCAACAGCGGGGGGGTGCAGCGGCGAAGCGGAAAGGGGGCAGCGGCGAAGCGGAAAAGGGAAAGGGGGGGTTGGTCGCGGAGCAGCGGGATTGCAGCAGCATATCGAGAATTGATAAAGATTTCGGCGATCAGATTTCCTTCTTAATCGGCCGTTTTCGCTCTCCGAGCGTTGAAAATCCGCAAAAGAAAATCTGGTTTTTCGCAGAGCCCGCGCCGCGCGCGAAGTGCCTATCGGCGACTTAAGAGCTGCGCTTCGCGCGGAGCTAGGGTCCTTGGAGCATCATGGCGTACCCTTCCGCATCTCTCTCAAACCCGATCACTCCCTTGCGCCTCGACCCAAATGGCTCAAGCCCTAACTTCAAGGAGTGGAGCTATGGGGTTGACAAGCATCTCCTAAGCCGCAAGATTGAGGGGATTTGCCTCAAGGATGTCCTCCACAATCGCGGCAAAGGAAAGATGCCGATCCTTCCCAAGAAGCTCTCAGCCACGGCCACAGAGGAAGAGTCAAAAGCGCATGAGGAATCCATGTCCAAGTATGAGGAATCTTACAGCGTGTGGGAGCAAGCCGACGACGCTATCATTGGCGTCTTCGTCGGCACTACCCCTTCCGAGCTCGTCAAAACTTACCATAACTACCCCTCTGCGCACGCCATTTGGGAGTACCTCAACGACCACTTCCTCAACAAAACCGCTGTGGGCGTGGCGATACTCATCCCCCGCATGTTTCAAGTGCGTCTGGAGGAGTGCCCTGGAATGGCAGATTACGTCGCTGAGATTTAAGGGATTCATCAGGAGCTGAAGCAACTCGGCATTGTCTTCCCAGAGCAAGCCCCTGCAACAGCTCTGCTTGTTGGGCTAACCCCCTCCTACAATGTCACCCGCTCCATGCTTCTCCATCTCCCGCCAGAAGAGCTAACCTTTGCCGAAGTCTCTTCCGCACTTCTCTCTGCTGAAAAAGACAACACTGCGCAGGCTCGTGCAAATGCGCTTCGCGCTCCTGTCCCGGCTCCAGCATCGCATCCCAATCCGCCACCCACTCGTAACCGCTACCCACCCTGTCCTTACGTCATCAAGATGGGACCCCGTGCGGGTCAGGTGTGCGGCGGCACCAATCACCCGCTCGCCACCTGCTTCAAGAAGAAGGACGACGACTGGTTCGCCAAGAATGGTATCAACTCCAAGCCGCCCAACTGGCTTCGCATGCGCCAGCTCAACCATGTTGAGGCACAGGATAGTCAGGACTCAGCCGTTCATGCCCCTAGTCCTGATGTTCGTCTCAACCTGTTGTTCCCTGGCCTTCCCATGATCAATGAAACCAGTTCCCAGTACTCGGCGTCTCCACAAACACCATCCAAACCACTTGAATTCGTCCTGGACAGCGGCGCAACCCACACAGTCCTCCGAGACAAAGAGTCTTTCAAACCATACCAAGCACCCATTCCTCTCCTGGGCGCTGACTCCAGCTTCTCAACTGTTGCCCATGGTTCCTCCACTCTTCCATGCCCAGCCTTCCCATCTGGCACAGTCACTGGCCTATGCGTGCCCACTCTTCGGCACAACTTACTTGCACAACATGAGATTCAACGAGCAGGGGTAACCACTATCTTCCCAGCTCATTCCAATCATTGTGATCTCCTTGATCCCACCAACAATGCCCTCCTTGCACGCTTCATACTGACCGCCAACAACCTCTACACACTCCAAGTACCTCCATCTTCCACTGAAGCACACTCTACCTCCACCACATCATCATGCTCCTGCCGTCAACTCACCGACCCAACCATTCTTTACCACCATCGTCTCGGACATCCCAACTTCCGCATGCTCTCCGAACTTGCGTCTAGGAAGTTGCTTCTTCACCTGCCCGACACACTTCCTCCACCCGCCACTTCTCCCGCTCCTCCATGCTTGGACTGCGCGCAAAGTAAACTACGCCAGCTGCCTCACCCTTCCTCGCCCTCCGCTGCAGCCGCCCCGCTTGACCTCGTCCACATGGACGTCTGGGGCCCAGCTCCACTACGCTCTCGTGGCGGGCACTCTTACTTCCCAGTGCTCGTTGACGATCACTCTCGCTATGCGTCCGTCCACCTCTTCTCCTCCAAAGCAGCTGTTCCCGATGTCGTCATCGCATGGGTTCGACAAGCCCAAAATCATTTCCGCACTTCAGTCAAGTGCCTCCATTCCGATGGCGGTGGCGAATTTCGAAACCATTCCCTTCAAGCGTTCTGTGCCTCCCAAGGCATTCGCCAGACCTTCACCCTTCCCCACAGTCCGCAGCAGAATGGCATTGCTGAAAGTCGCAATCGCACTCTCGTGCAAATCGCTCGCTGTCTTCTCACTCACGCTGGTGCACCACCTTCACTTTGGAGTTACGCCCTCCTTCATGCCACGCTGCTGTACAACCTTCACCCTCACCCTCTTCGTCCTGCCATCACTCCCGCTGAACTGTGGACCGGCACCAAGCCCAGTGCACGTGCTCTCCGCGTATGGGGGTGTACCGCTTATGTCCTCCTCAACCCTCAGGAACGTCGCACCCGTGGCGGCAAATTTGCACCCAAAGCTCAACCCTGTGTCTACCTCGGCCACAACCTGGACTCTCCCGATTACCTTTTCCTCAATCCCTCCACCAATCAGCTCATTCGTAGCCGCGATGTCGCCTTTGACGAGAGTCGCCCTTTTTACCTCTCTTCACCACCCACCACCGCTCCACCTTCGCTTGTGTGGGCCGATTTCGATACCTCACCCTCTCCACCTCCTCCCTCTACCGCTCCTCCTGCGGCCCCCTCACTCTCATCTCCACCATCTCCTTCCACTCTCTCTCACCCCTCTTCGCCCACTGGCTCAGTTGCCCGTTCACCTCCGCCCGCGCCTGCACTTCTCCCTGCACCCGCTCCTGCAGCTGCCCCTCCACCTCCCTCTCCTTCTGCGCCTCCCCCTGCCCCTGCACCTCCATCCCCGCCTTCACCTCCGCTTCCGCCTCCAACCTCGACCTCTCCTCCTGACTCGCCCATCACCTATCGTCGCCGCCGCCACGGACGCTCTTATGTCGACGTTCCACCTGCTCCCCCACCACCTCCCTCCTCTCCTGTCCCTATTGCTCACTGCACCCGCTCTCATGGTCCCGCTCCGCCTCTCGCCCTCTCTGTTCGCATCTCCCTCAATCCGCCTCCTCCTGCCGGGGGTGCATCCATGCCTGGCCTCTTGGAGGATAGGCATGAGGAGTTGATCGAGATCAATGCTGCCATCCGTCAGCTCTGCCATCTTTTCCCCGATCTTGCCGACTCTCCAACTCTTAACTTCTCGGAAAACCCATCGATTCCAATCCCGAACTCGTATGATGAAGCCATCTCCGGACCACACTCCCCCCAGTGGCTCGCAGCCATGATCGCGGAGTGTGAAGCATTCATTCGCAACAACTCTTTCACGGACGTCTCTCCTCCGCGAGGAGTTAACATTGTCCGTGGCAAATGGGTTTTTCGCGTCAAGCAGCTGCCTGGCGAACTCCCAGTCTTCAAGGCACGATACTGTGCAAAAGGCTTCACGCAGAAGAAGGGCCTGGACTTCTTCGACACATTCTCTCCGACAGCCAAACTGCCCACGCTTCGGACCCTGCTGGACATCGCCGCTCGATGCAACTTTGACATTCACTCCATGGACGTCTCTGCTGCATTTCTCCAAGGGGATCTCCCCGAGGACATCTACATGGAGCGTCCTCAAGGATTTCCCTTACCCTTTCCACCCGGCACGGTCTGGAAGCTGAATCGACCAGTCTACGGGTTGAAGCAGGCTCCTCGGGAATGGCACAAGAAGCTGAAGGCAACCCTCGAGTCACTCGACTTCCACCCCTCCTCAGCCGATCCGAGTCTCTTCATTCGCAAGAACGAGAACCCGTTCTTCATTCTCGTGTACGTTGACGATATGATTCTCGTCTCCAAGAACTTCGATCAGCTGGCAGCTGTTAAGCAAGCTCTTGGGGACGCTCTCGCCATGAAGGACCTCGGGGAACTCAAGAACTACCTTGGGATGGAAATCTCGCGGGATCGCGAAGCTCGAACCATCACTCTCTCTCAAGAGTTCTATGTGAACAACGTCCTCAAGCGTTTTGCCATGGACAACGCCAAGCCAGTGGCCACTCCCCTTCCCTTGTAGCATGATCTGACCACTCCATCAGTTCCATCGTCTGAGCCTTGTGATGAGGCATACCCCGAGCTCGTCGGATCACTCATGTATGCGATGATGTGCACAAGGCCCGACCTCGCCTACCCCATCAGTGTGCTCTCGCGTTACGTTGCTGCCGGTCGATACACCAATCGCCACTGGTCGGCTGCTAAGCGCGTCCTTCGCTACCTCCAAGCCACCAAGGACTACGTCCTCACTCTCGGTGGCATGACCCCTCCTCACCTCGAGGGATACAGCGACTCCTCATGGGCTGATGATCAAGCTGACCGCCGCTCTTCCCAAGGCTATTGCTTCACCCTTGGCAGTGGTGTCATCAGCTGGCGATCTACACGCTCATCATCTGTCTCATTGTCATCTTGCGAAGCTGAGCTATACGCAGGCACCATGGCAGCCCAAGAAGCTCGATGGCTTACCTACCTCATGGCTGAGCTCGGGTATCCTCAGCAGACCCCGACTCTGTGGTGTGATAACGAGAGCACCATTCACCTCACCAAAGACCCTGTCTTCCACCAACGAACCAAGCATATCGAATTGAGACACTTCTTCATGCGCGAGCTCGTCCAGCGAGGGCAGTTGTGCGTCAAGCATATCTCCTCTGACTGCAACCTCGCCGACTTGTTTACGAAGGCTCTTGGACGCCGTGATCACTATCGTCTCCTCCGTACCATGGGACTTGGTGTCTATACGGCTTCCGACGTTGCAGCCTAGGGGGTGTGTTGGAGATAGGCTGCAATTCGGTTAACACAACTTTGTGTGTTGGCACTTTGTTGGTTTTAGGGATACACAAATTTGTTAGGTTGGGTGTAGCTATGTTTTCATCCCCAACCTATCCCAACCCAATCCATCCCAAATCCCAACGATTTGGGAGGATTCCCTTGGGATTCCCTTCGATTCTCCCTTATCCCTTGCCATCCTCTCCGATGCTCGGTACTTAAGGATGTATGCTCTTGCTCATTTCAAATCAATCAAGTTCTCAGTTTCTGATACCCGGCTCGTCCATCATGCTGGCGTGTAGCTCAGGCGGCCTAATCTAAGCACAAGATGGGTTCTACCCCATGTTTGCATGTGTCTACCGCATGGCTGGTATGTGTCTACCCCATGTTTGCATGTGTCTACCGCATGGCTGGTATGTGTCTGCCCCATGTTTGCATGTGCCTACCGCATGGCTGGTATGTGTCTGCCCCATGTTTGCATGTCTCTACCGCATGGCTGGTATGTGTCTACCTCATGTTTGCATGTGTCTACCGCATGGCTGGTATGTGTCTGCCCCATGTTTGCATGTGTCTGCCGCATGGCTGGTATGTGTCTGCCCCATGTTTGCATGTGCCTACCGCTTGGGTGGTATGTGTCTGCCCCATGTTTGCATGTGTCTACCGCATGGCTGGTATGTGTCTACCCCATGTTTGCATGTGTCTACCGCATGGCTGGTATGTGTCTACCCCATGTTTGCGTGTGTCTACTGCATGGCTGGTATGTGTCTACCCCATGTTTGCATATGTCTACCGCATGGCTGGTATGTGTGTACCCCATGTTTGAATGTGTTTCCTGCATGGTGTGTATGTGTGTAGCCTTGGCTGGCATGGCATGGCATGGCTTAATGTGGCACGGCAGGCATGCACGAGTGGAACATGGTGAAGCTCGCTTACTGCGATGGCGGGTCATTCGCCGGCCATCGACCCGACCCCGTGCCTGTGCAGGTCAGCACACCCATCCGCCCGTGCAGGTCAGCACACCCATCCGCCCGTTGCGATGAAGTCTCGTCCCGCTACTCCACTCACTCAAGCACGAGGAACAGCTTAACAGCCACAAGGGGCAGTTCGGGGGTGTATCGTGCGCCGCGCGTGAGGTGCCTGACGAGCCATCTCCCAGGTATAGAGTGAGCCGGGGATTGCTTCAGACGAGTGCACCACGGCCCAGCTAGTGCAGACGAGGGGCGTTGTTGTGGTGCCCTGTCAGCACTGGCTGCATGGCATGCATACACTTCCACTGATGCGCCAACCAGAATAGGCCTTCTGTGTTAGCCTCTCAATGTCACATGTGTCGCAATCATGCTGCGATACACCTTGCAATTTTTCTCCCTTCCTCACAGCACCGCCTGTTCGGTATTCCCTTCATCCACTTTTGAGTCGACTCAAAAATATTCCCTTCATCCACTTTTGAGTCGACTCAAAAATATTCCCTTCATCCACTTTTGAGTCGACTCAAAACTCATCCCTTCATCCACCCTCTCACTGGCAGGGCGGCAGCATCTTCATTCGCGGGCGGGGCATCCGCGACGCCATCTTCGACCACCTGCTCCACCGCCTCGCCGATGCACAGCAGGCAGGCACTCACCCTCGCCCTCACTCTCTGCGTTGCATGTGATCACAGCGCATCACTCATGCATCGTCGACCACCTGCTCCACCAACTCAGGGATGCGCAGCAGGCACGCACCGACCCTCGCACCCACTCACAGTGTCTCATGCGATCGCAGCACGTCACTCATGCGTATGTATGCAACTGCGACACCATCTTTGACCACTTGCACCACCGACTCATGGATGCACAGCAGGCACGCACTCACCCGGTCACATGCTCTTTGATCGCCGCCCATGTGCATCTTGCGCGCACTGCACATACATGCACACCCGCACACACGTGTGCACCTAAGTGGGAAAATTCGCGTTTCGCGTAAATTCGCTGACGAATTTACGCTGGCGTAAATTCGCCGAACGCCAGGGCCCTGTTTTAAATTCGTTAGGAAATTCGTTCCGCCCGGGCAGGAAAAAAAAAACCTGGGCAGGCCCAAAAAAAACTTCCCAGGTAGGGGGGGCATGGGGGGTTTCAGGGCAACTCTTTCAAACAAGAAAAATTTAGCACAAAATATATATTGCTTCTCAAAGTTTATGGCAATAGCATGTTCGAGAGTTTGGGGGGGATCCTTCGCAACAACAGCCCTGCAGCAACCTACAGCACCATTAGAAACCATACTCACACATCCCCCACACAACCCCCCCAACCATGCTCCCCTCTACATGTACTCATCTAGCAGCTCCGCATCATCCCCCTCCTCCTCCTCCCTCAATGCCTCCTCATCCAACTCCTTGTACCGCGCGGGGAGAGGCGGGTCAGGGATGTTCCCAACCACCACCCCCATCCCCTCCTCTTCTGCATGCCAGTTGCGCACAACGTTCCAGTTGTGCGCAACATACACCAAATCCGACAGCTTCTGAGACCCCAACCTGTTGCGCCGGGCGGTGTGGATAGCATCCCACACCGCCCAGTTGCGCTCACAGGAGGCAGCCGACACAGGCTGTGTCAGCACACGGCGCGCAAGTGCCGTGAGCAAGGGGTGGTCGGTGCCGTGCCTCCGCCACCATGCCTTCATGGTGTGCGTGCCCTCCTTGACCAACTGCCGGTCAGTAATGGCCTCCTTCTTGCCAAAGCTCCCCCTTAACTCCAAGTAATCCGCCAGCCCCTCCTATATGACAAGGGTTGCACGCTTGGGCGGTCCCCTCTTCTGAGGGACCATGACCCCCTCGTAGTGGCGCTGCACAAAATCCTTGAACACGTTCGTGCACTCCACGTCGGGGCCGAATATGTCCGCTGACTGGTTGATCGGATTAAGAATCCGACCAACCACATGCAGCGGGCAGGCCAGGCTCCCATCCCAACGCGCTGTCACGATCTCATTAATAGCACTCTTAGCCGTCGACGTCAGCACCTCGTGGGTCTCCTTCTTCAGCAACGCCTCCATTTGCTCTGTAAGCAGCAGCATCTTGTCATAAAGGCTTCCCATCATCCCCTTCCTCTCTGTGTCAGTCGCCCGCATGACATTGAATGGGAGCTCCAGCACCCTAGTGAAGAGCTCCGCCTTGGGCCACCACTCATTCTTCTCATCCAAGATCTGCTTCTTGAACGCATCTGCTGCTGCCTTCCTCGACCCCACCGCCCAATTCTTCTTCCACAGCTCACTCACCACCATTCCCTCTAGGATCTCGTGGACGGCAACAAGGCGGGACACAGCAATGTACTGTGTCCCGAAGCGAGTCCCTGCAGGCCTCAGCACCTGTAGCCCCTTCCCCCCCGCGACGTCGGGATTTTCAACGTACTGGCGGGTCCAGTGGTGGCTGCGCATGTACGTGATAATGTCGCTCGCCTCCTTCACCACGCCAGCGGCCCAAGGGAGCTTCCCCACGTTCTCCATCAGCAGATCGAGCATGTGCGTGGCGCAAGGCACGTGCTCGATCTTGGGGAACTCCTGCATCAGTAGTTTGCAGGCGCTGTAGTAGTTGCTGCCGCCGTCAGTGCAGAAGGCAACGACGTTCGCGGCGCCCAGCTTCTCCACGATCGGCCGCAGGAAGCCGGCAATGTAGCCGCCTGTTTTTTTCTCCATCTTGCAGTCGACGCTCTCGGCGAAGACGGCGCCGCTGTCGTTGACGAGCATTATGTTCGCCTGCGGGCGGCCGCGCCGGTCAGTCATCATGTCGCTCGCAATGGTGACGCCAGTGGCGCTCCAGCTCTCGGAAATCCCGATCAGAGCGTCCTCGATCCGGCGGCGGCATTGCTGCAGCCCTGCTCCGCCGATGTACTTGCGTGACGGGGGCACATAGCCATTACCCGCCCTCGCAATGCTCCGCACGGCATTGCGCCAAAGCGGATGATCGGCATGGCGCTCGGGGAGGCGGAGGCCGGCGAACAAGAGGCAGATGGATTCATCCGCTCCCTTCTTCGACAGCACGCTCCCGCTCATGTACTCGCCAATGCGCCCGCGCTTGCTGCTGGCGCTGGCGCCGCTGACCGCCTCAAGGGCATCCGTATCAGCGCGATCCTGAGCGGCACGGGAGTCCACCTTGGCCTCCTGGAAAGCGCGCACGGCTGCGCGCGCATCCGTAGGGGCTTCGGTGCATTTGCGCACTCCACGCTTGCCCATGCCCTCCCAATCCGTAAGGTGTTGAGCGCAACGGGATGCGGTGCCCATGAAGTCCGCTCCGCAGTGCTTGCACCAGTAGCGCTGCACCCTACCCATTTCCTTGCTCTTAAACTTAAAATGCTGAAAGATTACGTGCTTATCATCTCCAATGAAAGGGGTGGACGAAGAGGCCTCACCTGACGCATCGACTGTCGCGTCCCCACTAGGGCCCTGATCTGGGAGGTCCAACATCGCTTCTTGGATTCTTGTGAGGTAAGCTTACATCTGCGCGTAAACTAGATCTACTAGCGCGGAGAGTGATTACCTAGATCTACTACTCTACGTCTGGTAGAGTAGCGTGTGAGATGCGTGCGTGATATGGTTGCGTAAGTTGGGTGGTGGATGGGTTGGGATCTCTAGATGCGGGGGGGTTTGATGCGGTTGGGAGCGTGGGAGGGGTTGGGTGCATGTTAGAAGGTTCAAAAGTTAGAATCGCGAATTGGCGAGGCCACGGATGGCATCGCCAAGTCGTCGCGAATCGAGTGGAATTTTTTGTGTTTTTTTGTCCGGGCTGCCCCGAAATTTTGTCCCCAGCGTTTCGCGAATTTCAGGTAAATTCGCGTTTGCGAATTTACGCTTACGAATTTACGCAAAACGCTGGGGGACCCCAACGAATTTTCCCACTTAGGTGTGCACGTAGATGAAGCACAGGCGCTTGCGCTCGCACTCACATACACACTCCCCCCCGTGTGGTCAGGTGGTGGTGTCTGGGTGCTCTGCGGGCGGGCTGGCTGCTCTGCTGCACTGCGACCACATCAGAGCTTCGTTCCTCCCGGCGCTCCCCCCCTCCTCCTACGCCTGCCTGCCCGATGCTGCCATCTTTCTTGACAGGTGCCTCCCTTGTGCAGGGTGTTTTTCAGAATTCTCAGCAACTCCCTTGCCTCCCTTGCCTCCCTTGCCTCCCTTGCCTCCCTTCCTTGCGACTTTCCCCTGCTCGCTGCCTCCTGCTAAGCTTACCACTCTCAGTTTTTCCTCGCTGTAATGAGAGACTCACATGCTGCCTCCCACGCCATTGCGGCTTCTGACGTCGCTGCTGTGTTTCACACATTGTCGCAGGCAGGATTTGAGCGGTGAGCCGACTGCCAGGCGGCTGTTTGAAGATGTCTTCCGCTTCCATGTGAGCCCCTCTTGAACCCCTCTTGAACCCCTCTTGCACGCCTCTTGCACCCCACGCCCCCCACCCACTGCTGAGCCTCATGTCACAGCCGTATGCATGTCATGTCACAGTTGCATGCATGTCACAGATGCATGCATGTCACATCCACATGCATCTCACATCCACATGCATGTCACATCCATTTGCATGTAACGTCCAGATGCTTATCACACCCACATGCATGTCACACCACAGCTTGTCCCACCACACCATGTCACACCACACCATGTCACACCACACCACGTCACAACCCACACTCGCCACAACGTGACCATGTCTTTCCCAGAGCCCTGTGCTCTCTCCACCTGTATGTGCGCCTTGCTCCATTGATTTTTATGGGGAGGTGTCGGGGGCGCAGGACATGGCGGGTGGTGTGAGCGAGCACTGCATTCACGGCCGCCCACTGCACCTGCAGTACCAGGTGAGCAGAGCACTAGCAGGTGAGCAGAGCACCACCAGGTGAGCAGAGCACTACCAGGAGAGCAGAGCACCACCAGGTGAGCAGAGCACTACCAGGTGAGCAGAGCACTACCAGGTGAGCAGAGCACCACCAGGTGAGCAGAGCACCACCAGGTGAGCAGAGCACCACCAGGTGAGCAGAGCACCACCAGGTGAGCAGAGCACTACCAGGAGAGCAGAGCACTACCAGGTGAGCAGAGAATCACCAGGTGAGCAGAGCATCACCAGGTGAGCAGAGCACTACCAGGTGAGCAGAGCACCACTAGGTGAGCAGAGCACTACCAGGTGAGCAGAGCACTACCAGGAGAGCAGAGCACCACCAGGTGAGCAGAGCACTACCAGGAGAGCAGAGCACTACCAAGTGAGCAGAGCACCACCAGGTGAGCAGAGCACAACCAGGTGAGAAGAGCATCACCAGGTGAGCAGAGCACTACCAGGTGAGCAGAGCATTACCTTTGTCAGGGAAGCTGCCTTCCCTTGGTGGTCTCACCAAGGCGGCCATGTGGCTTGGGGGTGAGAATGAGCGCTGCTGCATCACTTTCTGGTCGTCTGCCACTCCCTGCCGTGTCACTGCGCGCCACATTTCCCCTTTTTCACTCTGAATGGCGCCACGCTGTCCAAGCCCCGGTGTTTCTCTGCATCCACGTGACAGGCTCTTTTCAGTGCGTGTGTGCGTGTGTGCGTGCGCGTTTGTTTGCGTGTGCGCGTGCGCGTGGGAGTGGGCATGGGCGTGGGCGTGGGCGTGGGCGTGGGCGTGGGCGTGGGCGTGGGTGGGGCGTGGGCGTGGGCGTGGGCGTGTGCGTGTGGTGTGCGTGTGCGTGTGCGTGTGCGTGGGCGTGGGCGTGTGCGTGTGCGTGTGGGTGTGTGTGTGCGTGAGCGTGTGCGTGTGCGTGAGCGTGTGCGTGTGTGTGTGTGTGCAGTGCATGGTGGCGGAGCATGCTATGGCGTATGTGAGCAGCAGGGTGTTTATTGTCAACAGCAACTACGACTCCTGGAATGTGCGTCTCAGTCCCTCCGTCGCCAACCCACCCCCCTCTCCGATCCTCCTCTATCTTCTATTCTGCCGTCCATTCACACCCTTGTGTCAATGCAGCCAGTATCTCCCTTCCCCATTCCCCCAACCCTCCTTTTTCCTCCGTTTCTCTGCCATCCCTCTTTCTCTTACTCCTCTCTCTTCCTTTGCTCGCCCTCTCTGCCCTTCTCACTTCTCCCTCCCTCTCTGCCGTAGTCTTTCTTAAAACTCTCATTCCCTGCATGGCATCTCCAACCCCGCTTGGTTAACGTGGTGCCTTTTTGTCTTGTCTCTCTGGCTGCGCAATCACGAGCGTGTGTGCTTGTTTGATGCGGCAGCTGCTGGCCTTGCTGGCGAGCGAAGAGGCGGATCCATCCGGGCAGCTTCTTCGCAACTGCTTGTATCAAGTGCGCTCTTGCACGCCTGCTCAGCTTTCCATCATACAAGGTGTGTCCAATTTCAAGCGGGTGAATCATCTGTTTCTCCGAATGTGTTGGCAGCAGGTACAAAGCACACGTTGTTGCTTCCACACACAACCGATGTGCCCACTCCACTCCATCCTCCCTTCCTTCGCTGCAAACTCCAGACTTCCGCCAAGCGCTGCTGACTGCATGGCAACCCTTCTTAGCAGCATCCGATCCCCATGGGGCGTTCTTCTACTCCTGCTTCGCCCACTGTGCTACATATCACAATGACCTCTGGTCGCAGCTGACAGTCGGCAATCATGTGAGTCACTGGTTTCTTTTTTCTGGTGCACTGTACCTAGATGTGAACTGCTCAATCTCGTTGCCCCCCTGCTCTTGTGCA